TGTAAATACAAATAATGAAATAAGTATAAACATCCAATTATTGCAGATTAATGCACTTTTTTTATAGTATGCAAATTTGCATGTTTACCAAAATGGCATACAGTCGACCCCCCTATAATGCGATACATACATTCCGCTTTATAAGAATTTCACGTTGTAGGAATCCTCAAATACATGAGCCAATTACAGCCCGGCACATGTGCAGTTTATGGACTACGGCTGTTTGAAAGGTTTTCTTCCATAAAATTAATCGATTCTAGACTAATTTCACTCAACATTTCCAAAGCACGTATAATTTTTTGGGAATAATCTGTATAAACTATGCTACAAACAAAAAATTGTAAGATTACTGAGTGTGCACCATTTGACCACGCCATTGCTTAAGCTTGTTTTCGTCGTGGAGCAGTGCACCAAACAGCAGCCGTGTTTTCTGATAAGCAATTTTTTGCGAAAAATTCGTTGAACTTTGGAGACATCATTAATAGAAATAATTTTTATGACCATTGAATAAGAAATGTATAAAATTATAGTACTGTATTAGACTTACAGTACCTAATTTAAGGCCTCAATAGTAATAGACTCAATAGTAGACGATAGTAAACTCAACTTACCCTCCTAAACTCTAAGTAGCGTGTAAGTAGTTCGGCTGCTCGTACACTATTGGTCCAGATTCAACCAATCCTGTTGCGACACAAGTCAGCGATGATGTTTTATCGCATTTTACAAGTCTCTTTTAGTGTCTTTATACAAATATGGTCACAATTTTTCGACGCAATATACGAATCCGCATTATATGAACCCACTTTACAGGGGGGGTCTATTGTATAAATAAAACACAAACTAAAATTTTGTTGCACATACACAGTGCACCAAATAAGTAATGAGACTGATTTTTTTCCCCATGAATACTTTCAAGAAATGCGCCAAATGTAGTTACCATTTCTCTGGCTAGATTGTGCTGAACACAAATGCTTCGATCATGTCGATGACTCAATCAGTGCATGCACAGCAGCTGTGAAAGTAGCATTGTGCAAGTAGCGGCGGTCAAACGTAGCATCACGGATTAAAGAGCCGTAATAAAATTTTACTGTAAGTTAGGAAAAACAGCATCAGAAGTTTACAAAGACATGCTATTTGTTTACAGGGACGATTGTCTTAGTCATGCATAAGTGTTCCACTGGTTTTCAGCATTAAGAACAAAAGAGAATCCTTAGAAAATGAACAACACGACTTCATCAGTACTACTTAGTACTGATCAAGTTGCGTTATTGTGTGTACATCAGTACTACTTTGGAGTCATACAACATCTCTTTACTTGCATACGTCATGTCAGGATGCATCTGTTCCAAAGCAACAGTTGGGTTTTTCTGCATGACAATGCACCAGCTCTCTGTGCACTACCCGTGAAACAGTTTTTAGCATCAGAACAGATGTGTGCACGAACACCCACCCTATTCACCTGATTTGGCACCTGCAAACTTTTTCTATTTTCGAAAATTAAATGTGTTTTAAAAGGGGAACATTTCAGTGACATTGAGGACATCAAACATACTGTGACCAACAGACTGAAGGAGATATACAATCAGGACTTTCAGCGTTCTTTCAACAACTTCTATGATTGATATAAACGTTGTGTGCAGGTGCAAGGGGATTATTTTGAATCCATGTAACTGCGAAATTGAAATGAAGTTCTTAGTTTTGATGTAATGCTAGTTGTCTCATTACTTATTTGGCACACTGTGTATCTTCATATATCTTTGTCAAACTTTGTCAGAGGACAAAAAGTAATAAATAAAATGAAAATAAACAATTACCCAAGCAGAATTGAGTGCACAGTTTTCAAATGGTGCAATTATAAATAAAGGCTGAAAAAATTGGTTTTTGCAATTGTATACACTACATTTATATTATGAACAATCAAATATGTATCAATAATTACTTAATAATTAAATATTAAATTAAACAGGAAAAACAATCTTTAATATAGACTAGTCAGAAAAACCATAAAGTTATTAATTTTCAAGATTTGAAGAAAGATCAACAAAGGCCAGTCCACAAAATCATGACACCTAAAAGGTCAGACCTGAAAATGTTAATTAAAAAGCATTGTTTGAAAATTTATATATTACTATATTCTAACTCAAAAGTTACTTAAAAACATTTTAAATTTTATATGAATGTTACTTTAATTAGTATAAAACAGATTTCTCCACTACAGAATTCAAAACTAAAGCATATAAAAGAAAATGGTAGTCACCTTTAGTTTTGACTTTCACAGCAAAATGGCAAAAGATAATGCTAGGACTATCATTTTAAATATATATAATTATTGCATTCATCAATATTTACTTTATTTTTATTGAAAATGCCAAAAACACAGTGAGTTGTAGCCTATTAATGTGACAATTTTTGCATTATTGTTAAATAGAATTTTTATTTCTTCATATTTATTTCACTTGTGGTTACATACTATGACATCACAGGCAAATAAGCTCCAGACATTACTACACATGGATGAAAATGACAAGTCTGATATGAAAATATGATAGCATATTTGCAGCGTTTTTCTTTTAATTGTTAATGTTATGGACAATTCCCTTGTGCACTCATGTTTGTTACACTTCAAATAAAATAATACCACCATATCTGAAAATAAATATGAAGAAATAAAAATTTTATTTAACGACATAGAGTGAAATTTACAGAAACTTTGTTTTTCTAGAGGTCACAATCTTTAATCTTGTTTTATAAGCTTTAATATGAGGAATAAGAATAGTAATAACAATGCTAATGATACAGTAAGATAATAAAATAACTATGTTATAAATTAAAAAAATTATAGTCATGAAGAATTGAACCTATATTGAGTAGCTCCAACATCTAAAATCTTATCCACTCTACTACTGCCATTCCTAGCAAAACTAGAACTTCTAGACTTATAAGCTAAACACACAATTTTCACACGCCCATTTTTCAAAAATGCTTGAGAAGTGGGTCCTATTATTTGAAAAAAAAACTATTTGTGTTTAGGGCTATATGCTCACCAAGTTTTGTTTGAATCAGAGATGCAAATGTCTAGCTGTCTCCTTCTAAGTTATCACTGTGGTTAGTATATCATCTTCAATAAAAACATTTAGAACTTTAACTAAATGGCTCTTCATACAGCATCATTCTTCACCAGCAGGATGCATCAAAAACATGCTTATTGATGCATCCTGCTGCTGAAGAATAATGGCTGTATGAAGAGCCTAAAGTATTTTAAATAAAAAAAATAATAATACTGCTGGTAAAGCCTTATTAGGGAAAGTTTTTGCACAAATCTTATGAATTGTAGTACAGTCAAGTTGCATTAAAATAAATTTGTAAGAAAACAGTAGTTAATACAAATGTTTGATAAAATGAACTATTTTCAGGGTCAAGGTCAAGGTTGTATAATTTACAAAATTAAAGGATTAACAGGTAATCAAAATTTATAAATTATAACATTTTAAACTTATTTACTAAATAACTTAATGATTTTCAAATCAAAATGAGGAGGAGATGGTATTTGCCATTTAATTTAAACAAAACAAAGCTAAAAGAAATCCATGATTATTTTTCTGTTGAAGATTGAAAAAATAGAAAATATTTTTTGGAGCCAAAAGAGTAACAAAATAGCCAACCTAGCATCATTGTATGCACTCCTCCGATATGCAAATTAACGTGTGTTTGCATGGGACTGCATCCATTTAAAGGGATAGGCATCTTTAAACTTTACCCAGCTATCTTCTGAGTACAGTAAAATGGTCCATTAAAATCAGATGTTTGAATTGATCTACAATTTGGGATTGAATCCATCTTTGCTTTTGCTTACTGGAAAAAAATCTGTTCTACTCAAAATAAAGCATTTATTACAGTACCACATAGGTTTTTACACTTTTCAAAATAAATAATAAAATCATTATTGGAAATAGGATTATTTCTTGGGAGATTGTAAATGTAATTTATAGTTTGGTTTTAACAAATTCTAATAATTTTCATGCAATAAAGCAAAAAAACACTTTTAACATTTGCTGCATTCAGCAGACACAACAGTTCCGGAGCTGTTGAGTATTTTTCTGCCGAACGCCCTCTACAGTAGCACTCTTTCGGAACATGTTTGGTGTTTTGATAACACCACATTTGGTAGCGTCTTTCATTTAAGCTACCTAAAACTGACCAATAGGGCTTTTTGTTTCAATGCAACATCATTCATCATTTGGTAGATCCAGTACGCTACGTAACAGCTACCAATTTGCTCAGTTACAACTGTTGAAAAATACTGTATGCAACCATTGTGACAATGGTGTTTTGCCTGGGCAAAGACAAAATTTTTGAGAATTTGCTTTATCAGTGTTCCTTTTATGGCAAGTGGACAGCATAACTTAAAAGTTCTAAACGTTTTATTTTCAAAATAAGAAAAATTTTAAGAAATATTTTAACAAAAATATTTTTTTTTATCAGTTATAAAGTATTAATAAGATTAAAATGATAATTTATTTTTTAAAAAATCATTAAAAAACTTTGACATTGTAAGTTTTTATTGGTAAAAGACTAATTAACATTTGGAAAAATCAAATACAATGTATTGTGTATGTATGTATGTACTGTACAGTATATAGTATTTCAACCATGCACATGCTTTTTTGAATTAATCTATAAACAGACACATTTACTCGAAATTATACTATTTATTCTTGGTACTATTAAATATAATAATGTAAACATCATTAATAATTGTTTTCATACCGTCTTTTATTTTTATTTACTTACTCATGTGGGAAAATTGTTCAATTTCAAATTCTGATCAACGTTACACGTGGAAATTTCTTTTATTTTTAAGTAAATTTAAATGCGGACATACCAAGTGCAAAGTCATAAAATGATATTAAATAAACAAATAATTACAGGCAATTTGAATGAGTCACATTCAACAGTAATTTCCGTTGAAACGTTGAATTATAATAATATTTACGACTTACCTTTTCTTTAAATAAATAGTGTAATAGGCAGTGACTTTAATAATTATTATTTTCATTTACTAATATACTTTCGTTTAAAACAATCAGACCACTGTACAATGGCAAACAAGAAAGAAAATCTTAATTTTTAGGTTCCTCTTCTTCTATTAAGCGGCCTCCATGTTGGTGTCTGCACCCAAGATGATATATAATAAAAGGCGATACGACATAAATTTATAGATAAAACTTCGTTCTTCGAAAATTTAATAACACAAAAATAACATAATGTGTTGTTACATTTTTATTATGAAAAAAAAATTAAAATAAATTAAAAATAGCATGTTCATTTTTATTTAATATATTACTGTTCGTTTTTCCGTATCTTAATTCTTACTACGCTTCACCTCGTCCCTCTCGTTTTCAAATGATAAAGTTTTACATTAAATACAGTATTATTATTATTATCATATACGAGATTTCCTAAATTCGTATTTAACAATGCAAAGTATATTATACTATGTCAAATAAAATATATATATATGAATTAAATATCAAACTCAGCTTCTTTTACAAACATTAAAACATTCAACACCTTATAACGCTGAGAAATATTTATTAACCCACAAACGTTTTCAGCCTAATGGAATAGGCCATCATCAGGTGATAAGTTATCGAACAACTTTGAAAATTGCGTTAAAATGGAACTTTCGAACATTACAAATTCAAAATTAAAATGTAAAATAAATTAACCAATCACTATGTTACTGTGAATGACCGAAATCTGGCGAATGTCAACATTCTCCGGTGAATGTCAACATTCACACAGTCTTTTCGTGTATGTCCGAAATATTTGCTAAATATCGTTATTGCTCACTTACACCGGCAAATGTCGACATTCAGAATGCGCTGATGGTAAATGTTGAATAAAAATATTTTTATTACGTTAAGACAAAAATGCAACTTTTTAATATGTCAAAATAGGAGAAAGCTTAAGTAACAGCACATGTAAATAAACTGTTGAACCTAAAACGAACAGTACATTCTATATCATTAAAGCAAATTATACAATAATAAACTTACACATAAATTATGTGATTAACATTATACAATCTTATTTATTGCAACAACTTAAACTGTTATGGCATTTTGAATTGCACAAGAGTCCCTTGCTTTTACAACTGCATTTATTCGTGGAACACTTTTTTTTTTGCAATGACAGCGTGTATAGCATTTCCCTCCACTTTTCGAATTAACTGCAGCTGCTTCTCTCAGCGATATTTCTTGAGAAGAAATCTTACCTATGGAAAATTTTCTTTACAAATTACGAACTGATTACGGGTATAAAGCTGCTTGAGGGTATCATTTTTGTTTGCTAATTTATAAAAGTCGGAGTCTTCTATTCTAACAACAACTGCCAACACATTTCGGGCATCTGTACGGCCACGGTCAACATCAGGGACTTGTATTCGTACGGTATCACCAATTTGAGCAGAAGGAAACGGCGAAGAATTTGGCGACAGACTGTCGCCTCTCCGT